TGGGGGTGGTCAGGATGAGCGAGGCAGGGGCCTCCTGTCTGGGTGCTCCCCCTCTCAGGCCCAACTAGCATGGCAACGTACTGGGCATGGGTGAGGACAGACCCCAGATTGGGGCACGTGCCCACGGGCAGCTGGCAGAAAGAAGAGGCTGACAATATAGGGCAGAGAAAACCTCTGAGTTTTGTGTGATGCCACCCAGAGAAAGAAGGGCTTGAGTGGGAGGCCTGCCCTGGACCCTGACTTGGCATGTCCTTCCTGGAGCCTGGAACCCTGGTCCCAGACAGACAGTCCTGACCAGCTTGGGGGTTTTCAGAGGAGGAAATGAAAGTGCCTTCCCAGAGCTCGTAGGCCTACGAGGGATCTTTCTCTCATTCCCAGGTCCTCAACCCAGACGCCACACAGCACGAATGGACAATCATCTTTTTATTCTGCTTTTCATGGATGGGTGGGGGGAGATCTGGGGGCGGGCCCACCGCCAAGCCGCTGGCTGCCGCTGCCTCCACCACATCCCTTCTGGCCCAGCCTAGGCCAGCAGCTCTCCCAGGGCGGCCACGGTCAGAGCCATGTGGATGAGATGAGGCCTGGGAGTAAACGGGAAAGCAGGGGCTCCTGGGAAGACAAAGAGAAGGCGACTCCGGGGGGGGTCTGGAGCCGGCAGCCAGAAACATCTCCCCGCGGGGCCCCGCCACTCACCAGCAGTGATCAGTAGCTTGTTACTGATGCCCGTCCAGAGGTAGGGGTTCTGGGAGTTGTACGCCATGCACAGATACTGGCCCAGCATGTATCTGTGCATATAGGGATAGTAGAATTGACCTTCATGCGCTGAGCTGCTCAGGGACTCGATAAATGGATTTTCAGCTTCGATGGAACCGTGATACAAATAGTACTTGTCCAAGGCTAAGCTCGAGTTACAGTGGAAGGTCAAGCTCTGGCCAAAGAAGGTTGAGGTGGAGGGAGAGACCCAAAGGAAGGGGCTCTCTAAGACATCTGCAGGAGAGACCCAGAGGTCAGGGAGTGGGGGCCAGCCAAGGGGCGCAGGCCCCTTCTCTCTGGGGCCTGGAGAGAGGGTCGTGACACCTGGCCCTTCCCCTGTCTTGGGGCTAAGCTGGGCAGAAGAAGGCGTGGGGTGATGGTGGGCCAGCCATCGGGGACAGGAGCCTGGAGGTGCAGGCCTCCATGCCGGGATGTCGGGCAGCACCCCTGGACAAAGCAGAAAAGGCCTGCACACCTTCCAAAGCCAGGTCAAGGGAACTGAGACCCAAGGAGAGAAGGGATTCACAGTGGTCCCAGTTTACAGACAGGGGAACTGAGGCTCAGAAAGGGGAAAGGGGTGTGTTGGAAGCTCAGGGTCAGCATGTCTTGGGGCAGGGATGCCGTGTGAAGTGCAACTTCCCTGGGACGAGCTTTTAGGAGGTTCCTCCTGAGAGACCCAGCTCAAGTCTATCGCTCTGGGCCCAGTCTGTCCCTTCCTGGGCTGATGGGGGGTGGCGGCAGCAGGGAGAGCCCCGTTTCAGCCAGAGGACCTTCCAGGAAGGGGAAGCCAACCCCTTGGAGGCAGACAGCTCCCCGTCTCCCTGGAGTCTTCTTTTCCAATGCAGGTTCAGCACCTGTGGGTCCTTCCACCCAGCCTCAAGCACCCTGCCTTCCTCTGGCCTCTCTGCAGACCTGAATGGGCCCTGACCGGGGCAGAGGGCAGGTGCTTTCTCGTTCTGGATGCTACACTTCTCCAAAGAAACTCAGATGGGTGACTCTCCAGGGGGTGGAGGAGGGCTCTCCGGAGCAGTGACTGGGCAGAAGCCCCCCAAGCCCCAGGCGGGCCTCCCGGGGAGCAGAAATGTGGCCTGGCCCCCTGCCCAGGACCCTGCTCATGCTCACCTCTTATGATCAGCGGCAGCTCATTACTGCTCTTGGAATACAACCCATTGAAGTAATAGATACAGGTGTAGATTCCCGTGTGCTTGGCAGTGACGTTGTCCATGACGAACCAGCCTACCCTTCCTTCCCAAATGGCATCCTCTCGGAACACCACCCTGGGAGTCATTCCCGGACGATCCACTTGGACCAGGAGGTACTGCAGTGAGCCGTAGGCCCCCACGCACTCGTACTTCACCAAGTCCCCTGGCTTTACCGGAAACGTGGGCTCCGAGAAAATCCTGGGGGGTGGGAGCACCTCTGCAAAGGGACCCAGCCACAGTCTGGCCGGGGCTGCCCTCTGGAGCGCCCCCACTGCCTGACCAGCCCACCTCCTCCCGGAGCCCTGCGGGGGTGGGGTGAGGGAGACTTACGTAGACCTAGGATGCCCTCCCAGACCTGGCACAGCTCTGTGAGAGAGAACCCTGCCCACCACAGAGCCTGCAGTGAGGGGCAGCCTGAAGCCTGCCCCTCCCCCAGCCCCCGCCCCTCCTCCTCCCTCACCCTGGCCCCCCCCCTCCCCCACGCCCCCTGCCCCGGCCCCTCCTCCCTCCCCAAGCGGGGATGTGAGGGGCGGGGGTCAGTCACCATGGCAGAGCAGGAAGAACAAGCTGAAGCCCATGGTCCTGAGCTGGGTCCCGGGGCAGGCGGGAAAGTGTTGACGCCAGGCAAGATCCCGTGAGGCGGGCCAAGCTGCTCTGCTATTGGCCCATCCCTCCCCATGTGACCCAGTGGTTCCAAGGAAGGCAAGAATCTCTAGGGATTAATTACTTCCTGCACAAACACGTGACCGCAGACCCCTAGGGAACGGCTGTTGTGTGTTCGAGTTCAGGCACCCTGGGCACGGCCCTGTCCAGAGACACTGCACTGCCCCGCGGTGGGGGGGGCTGCCAATGCCTATCTCCCCTCCTGCCTGGTCCGCACCCAAAGTCCATCTCTCCTTTGGCCTGCCTGGACCTAAAGTCCATCTCTCCTTTGGCCTGCCTGGACCCAGAGTCCATCTCTCCT